CAATATTATTAAGATATCATCCGGAGAAACGTAATACATAAATTGCACCAGTGACAAATTGGCATTGGCACACATTGGCACCCGGGAGAGGTATGAATGGAGACCCCCCTCTCAGACGTCTCCCCACCAAATTCAACATAAAAGTTTACATTACATAATGGTTATAAATGCTTTTGTGTTTCAAATAGATTATCAGTGTTTCGTTTCTCCAATTTCAACGTCGGAAGTTGTTACGTATGCACACTCGAATACAAACGTGCATACTAGTTTGGATCATGAAATGTATGGTACATTCCCTCTTGAGGGAATGAGTTTGTTCGACCTACTTATATTTAAACATATTACACGAAGCATCAATCATTGTTTCTATGTGCTTTCAGTCACGGTACGTGACTTTTCAGTCACTGTGGAGCACGTCCAAGGAAGGGGTTTGCATGAATGAAAAATTATGCGACGTTTGTTAACCTTTTGATCGAAGAAACAATATTTCAAGATTGATTTTGATGCTTTCTTGCTTCTTAACCGTTTTCTAAACGTTAATTAAGTTACAATTATGTTTCTAAGAACGTTTAATATTCCTAATACATCAAAAGACGATAAATGTAGAACAAACTAGACTTTGGTTTCTTCCAAATATGAACTATTAATTACATTCAAAATGACATTGGTGGAAATAAATTAAGCCTTTTCTTACTTTATTTCTTCCTAGATCAATAGTATCTAGTCGCCCGACAAATCTTGATCCAATCATGTCGGAGACGAAAGGATCAAAATGCTGCCATGAGATTACTCTAAAAACATGGGTTCCAAAGGGGTCGATATCGACTCCCTGTTGGTCGATGAAATTTTGAAGGGGGTCAATAATCAATGGATCGATAGGGATATATTAGCCAAATATGCACTGATCGGTATAATCAAGACCAAACTGATATTAACAAAAAAGATGTTGATAATTTATTGTTTTCTTGTGTAAACCTCCCAAACAAATAATAAATTACAAATTGCTCCTCCTTTGAAATTTCACATCATTCCCAAAAATCAATTCCCATAAATATTAATATTACAAAAATGAAAAAGACGAATCTAAATTATTTGTTTCAAAATTTTTTTCATACTTTTTCTAATTGATATCTTTAAGTCATTTATTGCAATTATTTGTGATATGATTATGTAGTATCTTGTCTATTATAGAAAAAATTGAAGGCGGTGGATGAAGCAAAACATTTTTTTAAAGAGATCAAAAAGTGTTGCGAATCCGTGCTCTAAGAGGGAACTTATCAACAAATAAGAGATTGAGTATTTTAGAAACCGTAGTTTAAAATTCTTTACCTCTTACTGTACACCATTGAAGAAATTTAGATATCTACACTAATAGTTTCATATTTGCATTGAGATTCATTTACACGAAGTAAAATGAACGAATATTGGAATCGAAGTAGATTCTACGTAGTTAATATACAATTAAATGTAGTTTTCGCAATAACAATACTCCTTGTCCTATATTACTCGAAAAATAGTTCCAAATCTCAACTCAAGCAATATACAACTTCACATAGCAGAAGTTGAATATATCACTTATTTAATTAACAACTCCTATATTTTCTACGATATTTAAATGCCACTCGATAACCCGCTTTAGAAGCGAATAGTTTAAACCTAATTAAATTAAGCCCTCGTTCTGAATGATGCCTCCTGTTCCAGATCTATTCATCTCGTCTTTACTCAGAAGCCTACGTGGACAAGGCTTTCATTCAGTACAATTTCGTGTTTATTGTTTAATGGTCCCTTCATTCAAAACAATAAATAGGGCTGGAGGGCCTCCGAGGTTCAAGGTACAGCCTCGCTCATCACGCGGATACGACGAACTTCTCGACGGGACCCAACTGCTCTCGACTCCCCGGCTCTCTCGACTCTCGGTGAATATCTCACGATTTGGCAGAAAAAAGTAGTTTAGTCGATCATTCAGAATATTCTTTTTCTGATTTCTTTCTGTCGCCTTCTACCTTTTCCTGTACTTCACTAAACAATACATCGATCGCAGTGGTTCGGGGCGTAGCGCGCTGACTTCGCAATCGGGTGGTCCGGGAGGTCCAGGTTCGATCCCCGGGCCGGCCATCGTGCCCGGGCTTTGCGTGATTTCCCGTGGTCTTGAGGCAAATGCTGGAGTAGTTCAAAAATGACACGATCACCTCCCACCACCCCACCAGCCACCTCTCATTGTCAACCTAGTTCTTTCGCCCCTCATCATCACTCCATCACTTCATTCAGCATTCCCTGCAAAAGGCAGGAGGCCGTTGGCCTTAATGTGATCTTAGTTCAATAATAATAATAATAATAATAATAATAATAATAATAATAATAATAATAATAATAATAATACATTACATATGTTTTGCAGGGCAAAAATATCTCGCTAATTCTGTCTTCATTCCTTAATTGAATTAATCTTTCAATTTTACCGGTTTACTGGTGGGTCGTATTCTACATTGTAATTACTAAATGCCTCAGTGTATAATACACACTACCTACAAAACAATAGATTAACTATACTTGTTAGCTTCCCTAACTATAAATAAAGTACTTTATGGCAATCTATTGTTGACATTACATGATACCTAAATTACTTAGATAAAAATTGGACTCTGAACAAAGTGCAGAGAAGTGCCATCCAAATCCGTAGTTTGTTCGCAAACCTGTCAGATCTTAGTTTTCAAACAATACAACAACTATTCTGACAAAGAACACGAAACCATTCAACATTCAAGCCTATTGTCAACTCGTTTGAATATATTTTCCTCTTCTGAATTATTCTTACATCGCTTAAGTGTCACAGATGCTGTCGCGAGTTAAAGAAATCGATTGATCGAATGCTTATTAAAACCTGGGGCATTAAAAATGTGTAGCGATAGCTTCATTTAAAGACGAGGGTCAGTGGTTCACAGAAGTCAATTGTTCACAAAAAATATTAGTACCCACTACTTCCTTGCATTGCATTGTTGATCAGGTGTATACAGAATATATTTTTTTAAACTTTCATCACACAACATAGAAAACTTTACAAGGCCAACGAGTTCATAACTGAAATACCCATTCTCTTTAACTTATCCCACGTGCCAAATGACTTGCAGCACATTATACATTGTTGTACTTACGTTCGTTTAGATAAAGAGACTTTGTCAAAGTATCAGAGATGGCCAAGTCAGTCAATTTTATTTGGCATCACACGTCGGCATAGATACTTTTTACACATGCTTACAGCGTAGAGTAGAGATACAGAAAGAATGAACATGGGCAAAATGAAAGACTCCTACAAACCATAAATAATATCAAAAAGTTTACTGCCTCTTTAAAAATTAAATAATTTTTAGCGCTAAAAATTATTTCACACGTTAGTTCTTTATATTCCATTGAATCTACTGTTCTGTATAATTTCTTGGTTTGAATGATTTATTTGCTTATTATTATTATTATTATTATTATTATTATTCAATCACATACTGCCATCATTCACAATTATCTTCACCTACTCCATCAAAACACAGAAACTATGACTTTTTAAACTAAAATTCTTGACATGAACATAAATTTATTAACTTATTCTGCATGGCGATAGTAAATTCGTCTGATAAACAAATTTGCATTAAAACATCATTAATTTTATAATTAAAATAACTTCGAGAAACAACTGATAAGTGGCAAATTCCTGAAATTGTATATTATTACTACTACTATTATCATCTTGACAGGAAAGGTATATTGCAGAGATTTCATATCACCATTTATTAACTGCTATTCTTTAGAGATACGTTAATAGTTTTAAGGTTAAATGTAATATATGCCATAATGTTTTTGCATCGATAATTTGCGCAACACAAATTGCTGGTGTGTTCAGTTACATTATAGTAAAACGATGGGTTATTTGACATTTTTCCCCCAGAGCATGTATGGCCCACATTTAGTTAATCTTGAGCCAGTGACATTTCCTTTTTGAAAACATACTCATAACCCTGTGAGCATCGAAATCGCGACCTCTTCCTAACGAGATCCTCTCGCACGCGGGTCACGCATCTCCCGCCCCGCCCGCTCCGCCCCGCCGCGCCCGGTCGACCTCCCGCCTGTAATCGTTTCCTGCCGGTCGGCCGGCGCGCTTGACCCGACCCGACCCGACCCGGCGGCGGCCGCCGCTCCGCTGCTGCCTCCGTCGCCGCCGACTCCGCCCCCGCCCCCGCCTCCGCCACCGACCCGCCCGGCGGCCATCGCGTTGCAGCGGGCGGACTGTAAACAGATTGTGCACGAGGGGCGGCCGCGGCGGACCCGCCAACGCGGGCGGACGGACGCAACCAGGACCGACATGCCGCGTCGCACAGACAGACCGCTCTTTGAATCCGTCCCCGGCCTGCTTCTTCCGCGGACTGGCGATGACGCCTCCACCCTTTCGAGGGGATATCGAATACGACTTCCTTCGAGGAGATCCGCGGGAGACCTCGCAGCGACGATAGCGATCCTAGCGGACGCTATCTCGTCGTGGGCACTCACCTGTCCGCCTCCGTAGCCGTCAGCGCCCCCGCGAGAAGCACGAGCAGCGTCAGCCAAGGCGACATCCCCGGCGGCGGCGGCGGCGGCGGGCGTTCGCCGCGCTCGCGCATCTTGCCTCACTGAACGTCGCGCTCGCTCTGTGCTCGCTGCCGCTGGCCTGCCTCCTCTTCCACCTCCTCCGCTGCCTCGGCCGCCTGCGGGTCTCGGGACGGAGCAAGGTCAGCGGCCGGCGGCGCGGCGCGGCGCCGGCGCTGTCCCGCCCAAGTTGCCGCGAATCTTGAAGTTAATGATGACGCATAAAATAATGGTGCAAGGATATTGAAGGCTCGTCATAATTTCGTTCAAGTGAGATTTGATGAAAACCTCGTCCTCTTGTGACTTTTATCCTTCACACGTTTTATTTTCATCGAAGAAATAACTTAAAAAATCATAAAAATAGAGCGGATAAAATAAATTAATTCTATTGACTTAAATACAAAATGCAACCCCTCAATATCAATTTAAGTTTTTGCAAAAGCACATAAGGAGCGATCTTTGTTCATGCACCGGTTTGTATTAATTAACAAACTCGCATCTTTGGAGCCATGTTCTGACGCGTATCAAATTTGCAAAATACGCATACCATATTTAAATGTAACTGTATGAAATATATTTTTATTACTTATTATTTATTTACAATTTGCTTAGAAAGTAGTAGTTTTGCATTTACACATGAAGTTTGTTCTGCAATAAAGCGAAGAAGCATACGATACGTAGGTCGGTCAACACAAAATTAATAATTTTAATAATCTAAAACAACACGCAAGTCATTCATATACATTTATTCAATATATTTTGTGTAAAATAGCCATGCCATTCATGAAACGAATCTACCTGATGTTAATGAATTTAGATTCCTTTTTAAGTTTCCCGGTTATAGAATCCTCTAACCATGACATATTGGTATTGCCAACCTTGGCGCAAGGTTTTTTTGTTGTTGTAAAACAAGGATACAGCGCTTCTGATGGCAAAATAGGAAACTATATGGGAAAGTGGTTTGGTGCTGAGTGGTGCGGTGAGAACATCTTTCCTGTAAATTGTTATAAAATAATAATGTTTTTATTTACATTGAAGTTGATAAAAACGCATTTGCGATTGCAGGCGGTAGTGCTTGACAGCTAGTGACAACGAGCTACTTCATCGACACTCTGCCATGACAAGAAATGTTTACCATCAGCGCACTCCATATGCCTGACTTCCTATCCCAGTAGTTCGTCAAAGAGGAATTCAAGCGCAATAATCAAGACAACTTTCGTCAGCTGGTGGAGAAGTGTCAACGAGGTGCAGTTTTTACATTAGTTTGGTTCCGAATCTTATTAAACGCGTGTTTATCCGAATTAAATTAATCAGCTGTTTTCTTGGCAGGTGACACGCAAGAGAAATCATCTCAAGTTTAGGAACCTCTCACTTTCTGCATAATTTGCTTTGTATGTAGCATCAACAGAGAAAGAAAAAAGATTTTGACAGTGAGCAAACATGACAGCCGAAGATGGATTCTGGAGCAATTTGCCTAGTGTCATTTTAATGGAAATATTTTCGTACTTGTCTCGAGCTGATAAAATAAATGCGTCTTCAGCTTGCAAGAATTGGCGAAGTGCATTATACCATCCGAGTTTCTGGCAAAGTATACACTTTAAAGCTAAAACAAAAGATCAAAGTAGTGTATCACGTACCCGATATCTCACCAGTTGTTTCGCGAAAAATTTGCGAAGTGCCACAATAAGCTTTGATTCTATGGACCAGATGTGTGTTAAGGAAGCTGCAAGAGTTTTACAAAAGCTCTGTGATAACGAAAATCTCAGGCGTCTCTATTTAATTCCTAGCCATTGTCGATTTGAATGTCCGGGAAGAGGGGATGACAGGAAGAATTTCATTGAAAAGTATGTCAAGTGATGTTTTTTATTGCATTGTAATAGTTTTGATTCCATATATTTAAACATTTAATTTATTTTAGGAATGTTATGAAGTCCCTTCAAACATTGGTTCAGCGTTCCCGAAGACTAGAAGCTCTTAGTCTTGGCTGCTCAGAAGACTTGGCTTGCTATTCAGGACCAGTTTTATCTTTATTAAGTCGGCATCAATCTGGTTCTTTGCGATGTTTAAAAATGGCATCTGTCAAAGATGACCCTGATGATTATCTTCTATCTGATCTTGATCCTACTTTGTTTCGATCATTTAAAATGTTGCAGGTTAGTAGCACAGAGAATATGCTGTTTTAAATTACTATTTTTGATCATATTACCATGTGTGTATTTTTAGGTGCTGAGCTTGGATTATGATTATGTCAATGATAATCTTTTGAATGTCTTGGGAGATATTGGTCTTGTTTCTTTTATTATTCATGTGCATGGTATTGAAGACACACATCCTGGAACAACGAATGCTGCTTGGAATTCATTTGCCCAAAGAAGGTAAGGTAAATATATTAAACAGTAATTTGGAACTGTGATGTAATATTTGTAATGAATGTTAATTATATAAGATTATTTTAATTTTTTTTAGTCCTCGTTGTGAACTACAGCTCACATTGATTCATTCATATGATGCTATTGAAGTGCTTCACTCGGACATATTGAAACCCAAAATGCCCTTAACTCATTTAAAAGCCTTCTTCTGTGAGCAGGTAAATTCGTCCCTTCATCAAAGATACTCCTTATTTTCAAAAGCTCGTTCACATCATATTTACTAGTGCATGTTTCTATTCTTTGTATTGTTATAGAATATTCATGATTGTTTTGTTTGAAAGGAATGTGTTATGTTCCATATCTTTGTAAGCAATATCTATTAACAAATGGAATCAAATCGTTGTGTATTTGCTGTTTTAGTTAAATTTCCGTGCTCTTCAATATATATCAAGCTGGTATGTCAATAGTCTGCGATCTCTTTGGTTAGTGGATTCAATCCAATCTCCTTCATGCCACTGTTTGGTGTCAATGTCACTAGATGGACCAGCTCCTCCAGATCCTCTTGTGATGATCGCATGGCAATGCACAAAACTTGAAGAATTGGTATTGATTGGTAAGTAAGAAATTTCTTCCTCTATTAGCTAGTATATTCTGTTAATTGAAATATTCAATTTCAATAATCAATTTTGTATTGTAAAGGCTATAAGTATTATGATCAATACTTAATAGCCATAGCTAGGCTGAGAGGTGAGACACTACAGCGCCTGGATATTGCTGCCCAAGACATACTCTTTGAATCTGAACTTTTGCATTCTGGATCATTACAGTTGGTGAGTTATTAATGCAGCATTTACAGTTTTATTGTTATCTAAGTGTGAATAGATTTCATTCAAAACAGGTTATTAAATGTATGTGTGTGTATTCTAACTATAAAAATCAAGTTTATTTAACTTTTGTTACAAAAATGTTTATTAATTTGCTGATGGTTGTCTAATACATTATTGTTGTTGAAATATATTATTTATTAATCAGTTTACTACCCTTTTTGGGTGCCAAAATTTAATAAGCTGAAAAGTAACCAATATGTTTGCATTCCAGGAAGTTAGTGAAGCAATAGGAAAATCTTGGACCCCTCTGGCAGATTCTGAATTGCATGATGTTATCCACAATCCCACTGCAGGTGATTCAGATGAATTCATCTTACCTCTGTTGTTGCAAGAACCGGGTATGTAAGAGTATTGGTGCTGACATTACAGTATTCTCATGACAACACCACACTTCACAGTGTGAATGATAAATTCCTTTTTTTCTGCACATTTGCCATCATAGTGATCTGTGTTAGCAAGTTAGTTACTTTTATTTTTTACATCATTAATTGAAACATGTTGCCTTATTTCTATTGAGACCCATATTTCCTTTTCAATCCGGACTCTCGAGAATAAATAGAAATGCAATATTAAACTTGTGTTTCAGCGTTTGTTGGTTATTCTGTTCTAAAGATTCAACTTAGCACTTAACTCAAAGTAATGTTTGTTTCCCTTAAAATTCTTACTTAACCAGTGTTAAATATATGTTTAATTCAAATTTTCAAGATTACATTCAAGTGCTTGGATTGCAACTTTTAAGATGCAAAGAAAAATGAATTCTGAATTTTAAGAAAGTCCCTTACTGTCATGATGCTTCAAAAATACAATTTAGAGAAAAGAAGGTTAGTGTAGAAAGAGCAAGAAGTGGTGAAGAGAAGAGATTATCTCATTTTATCTTCAGAAAAAATGTTGGAAGAATTTGTGATAGTCGAAGGTGAACTAAAGATCAGTGATCAAGGAAGTAAAGATCAGATACAAATAAAAACATGAACCACTGCCAAAGCCATTATTGATTTACCTAGTAAATAAGAACAAAATCATTAGGAGCTGGATTTACACATTCTTTCAGTTTAATTTGTTTTTTAATTGACAAATTATTTTATTTTGAGATAATAAAACATTTTCCTTTTAAGCTTGAATTAAAGAGAGTCCACTGTTTAAGGAAATAAGGTAACAGGTTGAATACCTAATTATGTGTAAATAGTGTGTAACTTCCTTTATCTGTCTGCTTTTAAATATATATTGTAATTAAAGCAAGCAGACAGTTGCAATACCTGGCAGTTTAAAACTGATTAAAATCTAGTATATTGTTTACCATATTTCCTTGCAAACTAGTATTCTGCGAATACTGAGAAGAACTACTGCCTTGTAGGTTGTGACTAAGAGGAATACAATCGTATGATGCTCGGGGAGCATTTTTTCCATCATGATATTCATGGTGACTGCAGGTCTTGGACGGAATGTAGATTTCCTTTTTTTTGTCTGTGATATCTAGTGAAAGTAGGGCAAAATCAATTTGAGCATAAGTTTTAATAAAAATGTCCCCTCTTGTTTTATATTTGATGTTATATGTAATGCAATATCAGACAATCCAAGAAGACTGCAAAATGAATTGAACTGAACAAATTTCATTCCACACTATATTTCCTACTGCTAATTTGATGTAGTAGGACCATTTGTTGTCTGATTGCAGGTACATTTGTGAATTATTTGAGACATGGGAGATAATCTGACAAGGTTTATTAAAGAGGGACATTTTAAGTCAGATATGAGAAAATTTTAACAGCCAAGATTGCCTGAAATTTTTAGTATAGTTTGAAGGAATAGTAAAAATCTGATTTCATGGTTTACAAGCTGATACCTTGTCTGAGAGATTGCCAATGACATGAACTATATACATTGAATGCTATATGCAACTTACTATGAAACAAAAGTTTCAATGAAATTAATTCCTTTCAAATATCCTTCCTAATTGTTTTTCTAATCGTTGTCATATGGCATTGCATAGTTCTGTTATTGAGATGTCAGTTTGGTTTTGCTATTTACTTGAACTGTTAATATTCTTAATATGCTTAAAGCATTCTCATTTTCAATTATCAATCATTTTAATGGCCTTTTACTAAATTATGTATTATAATGATACTGTCATGTTCAGATATTGTAATACTCTGCAAAAGATCTCCAGAAATGTAACCATGACATCAGATAATTTAAACTGACATATTATATATTGAATCGGAATAAAAAAAAGAAATATTTTGGTTAGTGTGTGGCAGAAGTGCTGCTTTTCAACAAGATATGTACCATTTTAAAATTGTTATGTACAATTCCATGTTGAGCATAAATCTCATGCACAAAAAAATGCACACATAATATCATAAAGCATTTGTTAACATAAATAAACCTGTTACTGTGAACAAATGTTCCATGCTTATCTGCTTTGTTATGCAGTGCAGTTTACCATACAAATTTATTACTACGTATTTCACACTTGGAAATTAAAACTGAGTGTAGGAAATTAAAAATATTGATATTTCTATGCTAAGTTCAAACCTTACCTATGGTAAGAGGTAGTTTATCATGCATCTGCAATCTTGATGCAAATGCATTCTGTTTAACGAAATTTGGGCCTTGCCTACTTGTTGATAATAACATGGTGTCTGTTTGTCTTTGTATCATATGAGCCAGACCCTGTGTTCCAGCTTCAAGGTTATCTAGTATTATTAATTATATAAATGGCTCTGACAATGGTGCTTTTACCCATCCTGCCCTATGCTGGTCTGTTAGGTCTACAATAAAATAATTGGTGGCATATTGACAAGAGCTTCAAAGTAGCTTTCATATTCCAGCTGCCAAATGTTTTAAAAATACAGTTATACATATATGCAAGACAGTTTCCTTCTGCTATGACCGGCATACGTGTTGCACCCTGTGACCCATTTTTGTACTGTACAGGGGTTTCATATTTCGATTAAAAATTTCTCCACATATGTTTTGATAATCACCAGTGAATATCAGGTTCTTTAGTGTGTACAGACTATGTTGGTGCCATGTACAAACAAAGGAAATGCTAATTATATTCAGTAAATATAACTACATATATGTAACCAGCAGTGTGAGAATATTTGGCTGGGCAAATTAAAAAGTGCCATTTGTTCACAAGTCCACGTCATCTTTAACATGAACGAGATAGTTGTAAGCAAGTTACATATTGAGAGAGTTTCTGCGAAATATATTATATTATATCATTATGAGTACCAACTGTGATCTTGAAGGCAACAGCCACTGTAGATTTTAGCATTTGAGGTTTGTTGAGACTATTATGAGATATCAGAAAGCCCTTACTGCTGAGGAAAGAGCTGAAATTTGGGATGATATACTCAAACACAGCTGAGTTTTGTGGAAGATATTCAGCAAACACATTCCGTAAAAATATTTGAATATTTGAGTATTAAATAAATGCATATAGCTGATTAGTGCTCAGTGTGTATATAAATATAAATTTCTTCCTAAATTTCACTCCTAGTTTTCTGCCAACAGTGACAGATAGTCATTTTTAATACAGAAATAGTAATATGTATATTGCCTATTCGTTTTGTAAAATTTGTACATATGATTCCTAGGAATACTGCAATATACAAACTCTAAAGATCATGTCATAATTGGTAGAAAACTACCCAAAAGAGAATTTCACCTGCTCTCAAACTAGTCTCATTTAAGTCCTACCTCCAAAACCGTTGTCTCAAGTGGCTGTGAGCTGGCAATGTATTGTTAGTGCATTGTTATATTGTATAACACCTCAGAAATATTTATTTATATCATCCAATATCTCTGATGCTGGACCAAATATGATCGGTTTAGCATGTCCAAAACAACAAGGGAGCATTTGATTGTTCTAGAGCATAGTCAGAATTATTTGGTTGCTCAACTTGGCACTGAAAGTTGGCAGTAACATCTGTGATATTATAGGAGATAGTGTGCAAATTACAATTTTAAGAACATCCTGTGAATACGGGTTGGACAAAACCCTGTGTATTTTGTCCGGAAAAGAAAATCACTGTGGCATAAAATACTGAATTAGAGATTCTTCAATATGTTTGCATTGGTCACTAATTATTATTCAGCAATTGGTTTGAAGCAAAATTTTCTTGATATTTTTATATTTATTTACACATTGTCCTCTTAAGTATTAAGTAATTACCATTGAGGAAGTGAGTTTTTTATTGTAAGGCTTAGAGCAACAAGCCATTGTTGGGTGTCTTTGAAAAGATTAAAGGGTGAAAATATGCATAAAAGTGTATTCTTTGTACTTTCTTTCATTCTTTCAAATACCAGTGTGTAGGGTTAATGTAGTGTTTATGGAATTAGTATTTCATTTGTTTGGGGTTAGTGGTTTCTGACATGTATTTTATTTGTTATTAGAAGTGTCCTTTCATAAGCTGTGAAGTTCTTTTAAATATATTGTTTCATTGTATTGTCAATTAATTGTGTAAGATTGTAGATAGTTCAATACATTTCTTTCCTGCATTTCAACAGAAATTATTGTATATTTTTATTCATTATCCTTCAAAAGTTTTTATTATTACCAATTGCAAACATATTCAGGAAAATCTGTATAATTTAAAGTAACAAAAGCCAGATTGTACCAGTAGAAAATACTTGTTCATAATATGCAGTAATACAGATTTTAAAATATAGATAATGAAATAAAACATTCTATTTCTGTTAAAACATGTGGAACTTCAACAAACACCACATGCTACATGTTGTACACACAAAGTATTTTGTTGTGTAGTTATATTGACTTCTTAAATGTTTGAGAATATGCAATACAAGTTATCTTACTACCACAGTGTGTTGTGTATTGTGTAGATCTTTGGAGTGGTGGCTGAACAAGTCAGCATTCATATAGCTTATCTTTTTATAGCTAGGTAATTTTACAAATCACAACATCTTGTTGTACTATGATTTTTATGGAATTTTTTTAAAGGTCATCTGAAATAAATTAAACTATTATTGTGCATAAAGAAAGTATCTATGTTCATGAAAGAAAAGTTATTGTCTGAAATATATTAGCATTTAGTTATGTATGTTAATGCTAATTGATTGTATGCATTCATCTCATTGCACCCAGCATTTATATTTCTATATAGGTTTTAAAAATCAATTGCTTTGAGTGAACATAGCAGAAACCATTCTGCCTCTCCCTAGTCTTAAATGATTATGTTGTATAAATGCCTGCCTGTCAGCTAAAGTTTGTATCTCCATGCAACAGTACATTGCTGATTTCCACCATGTTCCTAGGGTTTGGGAGAAGGGTACACTACTATTTACACTGAGCCCTCTCTCACATAATATTGTTATGTTTTTTGTTGTTTTTTTAATTACGTATTTACAAGTCACTGACCAGGCAAGTACTTTGCTTCTTGGAGATTTACCATTGTGTGTGGCTATGTTTCCCAATTGTGCTGTCACTGTATTATTGTGGTTTAGCACAAATGCAAGAAAAGGTTTATGTTATATTTTTAACTCATCACTGTACCATGATCTTATTATACAAAATTGCACAGTAAAGGCATTTGTTTGTATTTTTGTCTCTTATTCAGTAATGAAAATGTATGCAAGTAAACTGTTTAAATACTTGATTTGTATTACCAGTATTATAACTTTAAAATCTGGTTCAACTATACAATTTTATTTTTGTTACTAATATTTACAGGTCATCATTCCAACAGAGAATTGTATTTGTGTAAATACTTCTATGTATTTCCGGTCTGCTGATAGATTGGAATGATGTGAATTGATCATGTACCTGAAATCTTATCAATAGTGTGTGCAGGTTGAAAAATATTGGAAGTACATACTTATATTTTTGGTGAAAGATATTTCCATTGGCTCTTAATGCATATTAATGTGAAAATGGCATGGGTACTAACCTAAGTCAGAATAGCAATATAAAATGACTGCACAAAATATATGTAGATATGCTAATAGAAATTAAAGTATGTATACTTGAATGTCATCTTGACTTCTGCATCAAAAGGATATGTATTTTCCTAAGAACTAGTAACTACCAGTAAAGAGAATTATATTGTGATGTCAAGAATTTTCATCATGCTGTAAAATATCAAACAACAAAATGACATGCGGTTCAACAATGTATAATTTTATTAGTAATTTACATCCATATTTAAAATGTGCTCCATCATAATGCACCCCTTGGAATAGAGACATAATAAAAAAGATAGCTTGTTGATGTAACTAACCATACATTTCTGCGGATAAGTCTTCCAGTATCAGTATTGAAGTACTAGAATATGACACGAAAAACATTTTGTCTGCAGAAAATTTTCATATGTTATCTTTCTGAAGAAAGAAATAAAAAACACTTGTGAAGACCTCCCAATGCAACTGTAGTTATCAAAGGTTGAAAAGTGCTCAATTGTTTGTAATAGGAGACACCACTCTTTATGTTGTGGATTCTTCTCTTCACTTTTAATTTGCACTTATTTCTTTGTGCAAAAGTTATTGGGATGTACTATAATAGAAAATTATTACATTGGAAGAGGAAATGAGTAATGTGTTTCAAATTGTAGGTGGAATTATAAACATATTTTAATTGTTACTCTATTACCTTCATGGCTTAATGAAAAATAATGAAGGGTGTAATTATGAAAGTTAATGTTCATTTGAAGAAAAAATGTCTTTAAGTATTATTTCAGGAAATAAAATTATGGTTTATTTACATCTATTTTGTGTTTTGTGCATTGAATGGACCCATTCCAAAGGCCCTATTCACTTTTACCTATATCCTAATGCAGACGAATTTAGTACGTTTTGCGTTGTTCTTTGTGCAATGTTTATTTTTGAGTTTGGAATAATTATCGATAAGCAACCACTGAAATTAAAGTTTTGAAAGAATCTGCGATTTCAAAAAATCTGTCAGCAAAAGACATCTGGTCTCTGAAACGGCACGTAAAGAGTACAGAGGCAGGTAGAGTTCTGGGTCATGCACCCGCGACCCTCGCAACTTGATTCGCTTCACTTTTAAGTGCAGCCTATGTACATGACGTTTAGAAGGAGGTAACCGCGAAGTAAGTTGTATGGTGCCAGTATTCGTCCTTTTACTCGGGAATGAGTGTTATGGGCTCTCAAACGCAATATCGACGTTTTGCAATTTAGCTCGATATCAAGGTATGACCAATAGGGCCACGTGCATTTGTTTATGTCAACTTGTTTACGGAATCCTTGTAGTACACAAGGAAGCCCCGTAGCATACAAGTAGAGACAACGCCATATTGGATCAGTGGTTAATTTTTGCGTGGATGCGTTAATTTTTTTCGCTGGATTAAAACACCTCGAGGTATGTGAACAAGGGCAGCTGCGTGTGAATTTGGTGTGAAAGATATTCATCCTCGGCGTTTCAGCAGATGTTCCGTACAAAGTATCTAAGCGCGTGCGATAATTAACACCTTGTCGGTACTTTTGAAATCGATTTGTCAGGCAGTTTAACAAATTTGGAACGTCCTTGATTGACCACCAGGTATGCGCATTCTGCATCCAAAATTTCGTTTTTGTGCATTTTGAAGTGGTAATTTGTGCGTTGCTGATTGTTCAGGTGCTTCCAATGCAATTGTGAAGTGTACTGAAAATATTTTAATTAGTTGCCGCGTTACTTTACCCATCGTTGCCGACGGGCATTCGTGGGACAATACAATGGAGTCAAAGGATTGAGGGTGACAGCCAAGATAAGAGAACGCGTACACGCAAGCTGTTAAAAGTATGTAATTACAAATATTTTAGTTTACTTTTTTGTTTTGATCCTAATGACGATAGTAATGAATTGTCATTAGTAGTATTTTGAACACCATTTGCTCTAATTAAATGGCTCGTTGGCGCTGTGACATTTTTGACAAATAATACTGGTAAAACCTAATTTCTTTGAGGTTTCTTTTTTCTTTTTTTTCAATTTTTGTTCAGCTAACATATTTCATAACCCTTTTATAGTTCTGATTAAGAGATATCTAACTGAACAGTATATTTGGGGATGGGGCAGCGTGAGAGTTTCGCTTCCCGTTGTTTTTGTGAGGTGGAATTAGGCGAATCCGCTACTTTCTTTAGTTTCGATTTGTTTCGGTTGAAGTTACTTGTAAGGTGTTAATTGTGTCACACATGAAGTTAGTAGGTTGGTAACATTTAAATTCATTCATTGTCTGTGTATTGATTTCATTTCATATTGTTTTGTAAACTTTTGGTATTGCTGGTGTTATTTCTGAATACTAACAAGTTAAGAATTACGAATTGATAGTTTCTTACTACTTCTTTTGTATAATGTTGCTTGACAAATATTCCTGCTAGCCAGTTGTTTCTTTTTAAATTTAAGATAATAAGTTCTTAAATTTAAAAAATACAAGAAGAATTATGAACAATTATGGAAATTTGCTTCATTTATTATTTAATTACAAACAATAAATTGAAGAGGTACAATGAAAGGGACAATAATTTTCACTATTTTGAATAATTTTAACTAATTGCAAAAATTTAATAAGTATGCTTTTGGAGAAAGTGTTTTCTTACATTTCAGGCACCAGTATAAATCGTTAAGATATAGACTGGTGCCTGAAAAGTTTTCTTACTTTTCAGGCATCAGTCTATTTCTTAACGATTTATACTGGTGCCTGAAATGTAAGAAAACACTTTCTTAACGATTTATACTGTTGCAAACGAAACACATTAGTTTGGTGCTTGTGAATGTACATGCTTATACATACGCTTCAGAAATTACTTTTCAAAGAAGTTGTTATTTAGTTAGGTTATAAATTTTGTTCAAAAATAATTTACAAAAATTTAATAATGTGTGCGGAAAACTTTATTGAACAAATGCAAGTAAATGGATGATCTTACTTTATTGCAAGCAATTAATCAGCTTCATTTTGATTTTCTGTGATTGAGTACTAGAAAAGAAAACACTTCGTCTCTTTATATCAATTTCGTTATTATTATTGTTCTTATTATTATTATTATTATTATTATTATTATTATTATTATTATTATTTTATCAGCACTGGCGAAACTGAGGGAATGGAGAAAATGGACGTTGATGATGATGCTGTTGTAGATCTCAGCGTTAAGTATGTAATTTTTTCTGCAATCTTCCTTTTCTTCTTTTTTTTTTTTTTTTATTGCTCATAATTTTTCATTTATGATACGGAATATTGTGGTGTATGACTTTATAGGCGAGATCGAGATATTAAGCCTCTGGTTGACGCACCGCAAGACTTATCACGTTCTCACAGACTGTCTGCAGTAGAGGATATTGTAACAGCTGATCCTAGGACTATCATTCCACGAGCCATCAAAGAATTTGATGATCGCTATCCACGGCGGAATTTGCGACCACGAACTGAGCGAAATTATGCAGAGAGCCCTGATGTTATAGTTTTGTCTGATGAAGAACATAGAGTGAATGGATTTGCCAATGGTTATGACAGTGACACTGATGATGGGGAAATGCCTCCTTTACCACCAATCAAAGTGAGTGATTTTGTTTGAAGAGATAATTTAGTTTGTTTTTTTTTTCCTTTCATTAGTGCTCTTAGATTTTCCAGTGATGTTATTTTCTTCTTATTATATGTATTGTATTTAAATTAGGCATTTTCAAAATAAATTTTCCTTTAAGATAAATGCAATGCTTTTGGGGGCTTGGATTGAAAGGAAATTAACATGCATTAGTAGTGTAAAATACTTGTTTACAATTAAGTGGTTGAATTAATTCAAATAAGATAGTTTCAATCCATGAAGTTGTCATTGAATGAAACAAATAGAAAGAAAAAACATAAAATCAACGTCTCGAGGAGGCAGTAAATTAGGAAAGATTTGTCCATGAATAGAAAGAAGTGAATTCTGAAAGCGTGTTATTAGAGTCAAATAATTTCCTTTGTTTTATGTTTAGAAGATAATAACTTCATGTTGCATTTCATTTAAATACTAGTTACATATCAGACTATTTCAGCCAACTTTACTTTATATATTATGGTTCATACTTTAGAAGTTGCATCAGTGAAATCTGGCAACAATTTGGCTTCAGAATAATTTTTTAATTCATAAACAGATGTATCATTCTACATTTTAAGTCATTATTACCCTGTCTTGTAATAAGGAATTAGTAACTGTATGTAGTTCTACTTTTAGGTATTTTAAAAATATAAATGGATTTGATTTCATAATAAAAACTGGTCAATTCATAAGTTGATTATAGCGTAGTACTGTTTTAATTAAGTCATAATTTATGGAAAGAGCAAGCACCTGCATTATCTCCATGATTTTAATCTGTACCACTTACTAATCAAAGATAATACTATTACAGAACAGTAATGTGTGTCATTCCCATAACTTATTGCATATATTATTTTGTGGGTACCAAATCTTTGATGGTTTTGTTGTTTAAGAACCTGGTTTTTGTCTCAAAGAGGAAATGCAAGTAACATGTTGAAGAAACCAGTATGAAATATTTTCTTTTATAATGAATGTCTTTTGGTTGTTTATTTTTTTTTATTAGGAACTCACTCCTGCGGAGCTGCAGGAACGGGAGCGGGGTTTGAGAAAGTTGCGAGAAGAACTGCGCAATGAAGAGATGAAGCTCGTTCTCCTCAAGAAGCTGAAACAGTCTCAGCAAATGAAAGAAAATATTGCTGTTGTTCCTCCAAGTCAGCAGCCTGTGCTGACAAAGCCACCAACTTCTGGGAAGTTACCCCCACCACCCCAGCAGCAACAGCAACAACCACCACCTCCACCTCTTGTGAGAACTAATCTCAACAAACAACCCAATCCAAATGTCATTCCACCTTTATTGCGTGGGGTGGGTATTTTTATTAATTACTAATATTTAATGTAGGGTAATGCAGAGTTGAAATTCATATTATTTTCTCTGGATTCACAGCAGCCACCTCCATCAAGACCTCAGAGTATTCATCATCCCCCTCCTCTGATGTTAGCTCCACAGTCTGGAAGAAGCTCTAGTGGGCTACCTCCTAATTTAATGTTGACCCAGCCATCTGTATCAAGAAGTAAGATGTAGTTTTAAAGTGCAATTAAGCTGTGATGAGAGAGAAATGGAAGAATTTTTTTGAAATATTAAATCTCGTATGGTGTGGAAGGTGGATACAACTTGTTGACCACCTTGTATCACAAGAAAATTTAAATTTGTTTTCACTCTTATTTCAAAATGCACGAACAATCTGTTGAGGAATGTTTTCTTTAAGTAGTGAAACTGAAGGTGGTATTTCCATTCTTCTTTTTCTCTTCAAATCCCTTTTTTGGTGGATGCATGTTTAAAAAGTCAAATATTGTGTAAGAATAATAGGTATGATGAAAATTTTTGTAGTGACTTATTTCAGTATGCAATGCCTTCGATAAAAAAGTACATATCAAATTATTAGTTGAATCCTATCATTTATGATGTCCTTTAAGAAGCAGAGTGTAATTCGTTATAAGATGCTTGTCAATGGCAGTTAATTGTCTGTGGCTTTTGCAGCCTCATGCCATTCAATCACAGTTTCTCTTGAGGGTTAGCAAAATATGAGTCTTATCCAAAATTAGTTTTAGAAAAAAAAATTATCATTAATTTAATCTTCTTTCTTTTTAACGCCAATAGTATCTCCAAAAATGGAGAAAACTGCTTCTTGTTAGCCATGTTTCCTAACAAGGTTTACTAAGCCATTTCACCCAAGCTCTTGGAAGTGTTACTTTTTGACCATTCAAATTGGGGTCCAGATTTTCTAGAGGGGTAGAGATAAATTTTGTTAGTAAAATATAGAGATAAGTGAGTAAATGGACTGCATTGTCAAGAACATTGAAGGCGGAGTTGCTTTCCAGGAGAAGGGTATGCAAACCTTACCAACTCTCCAATATTTATTTTCTTAAGTACACCTCGGGCAACTGATACGACATGATTGATTTGCTATTTCACAATCTGTTGCTCCAACTGCAAGGATTTTGCAATGTTCAGTACATCGAGTAGGAGACGTTGAAATTCACAGGTGAATGGTGACAAATAATTGTTCATCATTACTAAACATTGTGGAAAGTACTGAACTCGCACACACTTCTTTGACAGCAATATTTCAATCATGAACATCTCAGCAGAACTTCTTTCCATATGTACAAAGGAAATGTCTTCTGTTTTTTGAGTTGAGTAAAATTTTACTTTTCTTTGAAGTCTCTTTCTGTGAAAATTCGAAACTATGTAAATTTATTTCATAATTATTATCTATAGTGTGTCTCTGTAACATTTCACACTTGATACACTCTCTTAATATTGTTAATATCCACAGATCATAAAATGACACAATAATACTGATAAACATACAAAGCACCTCATAGGAAGGGAATGGCTAAATTACAAAACCAGTTCACGCAAACTTGACACAAGGCCTTACAAGACCCTGCTTAAAAGGGAGAAGATAAATGATAAATTGGCATTGCAATAGCAGTATCATATACTATGTGATAGCCCAAGAATTACCCGCCCACATTTTCTTGAGCCCTCGCTTCACTAGTTGTGAGTAAAGTGGGTAGTTTGGTTATTTTCACAAAAGAAATTTTCAATCAAAGTGATTAGTTCGTTTTTTTGATGCAAAATAGCTTCTGTTACATGTGAGAGAATATTTGCTGTTATCAGATTTTGTGTAAGAATAAAAAACAACGGTGGTTGTTTATTCTTAAATCATCTAATGTTGGCAAAGGGGTGGGGGTAGATCTTCTGGGGCTCAAGAAAACGTACTTGTATAATACCAACTCAATGTCTTAACAACACGAATGTATATAATCAATCAAGCATTGCCTGTCTTCCCTGGATTCGTGGGTGCTTTTTCTTTCTTTCTGTCTTCCCTCCTGCTTTATTAACTTTTTCATCAGAAGTAACTATTTCAGATTAGAAACAGAGCAATGAAAGAGCAGGAAGAATAATACCTGCATCTTACCTTTGAGACCATAGCTGTGCATGTAGTTCTATTGTGCTTGAAAAGTATCAGCTGTTGCCAATTTTGAATGAGTAGTGACATCATGAGGGAAAGTTCAGGCTCAGCAATGGTTATGGATGGGACACAGCTGATAATCAAATTTTTTGCGCATTTGCAATTGTTACTTTTCCTCACGGCAGTTCAGCTATAATTATAGTATTTCAGAGAAAACAGTAAAAGTGTTGTTTAAATAGTGGAAATAACTTGTTCATTCAGATTCTCCAAAATTGTTTTGTGTATTGAAAACTAGTATAATTTGGTGTAGTTATTTTTTATTATATTTTTAGTATTGGTACAAATAATAGTGCACATATGTTATTATAATCTTGTGTGTTCGTAGGTGGTAATGCTCCATTGAGTGGACGCACACCTGTGAATACTCCCCCAAATGTAGTGATGGGTTATCCTGTTGGCTCTCAGGATCGTGTTACAAAGGATGCTCATCATTCACCAACTCCCTCCAGTATCCCCCCACCACAGGTGAGTCATGTTTAATTTAGTAGATTAATTTAAGGTTTTGTATCGTCTGTAAGTCATGTGTTGCAATTCTCGTGAATCCCAATAAAAGGTTTACAAAAAAATGCATTGGAATTGCATTACTTTAAAATAAAATTTATTGTGTATCATTTTACAAAGTTAGTTTCTTATGGGAACTAATAAAACAAACTTTTTACGCACCAGCTGCTTGGGAATGTGGAAAACAAAGGTACCGTCAGTACCACAATACCTCCAATTCAGGAGCAGGTATGGATCCCAATAGTAGAAACTGTAGTATATTTTTCTGTTGCTTATTATTTTTGCTCCTTGTGTAGGCAGTTGGTTTCATAACCCTTAGTTCTTTAAGTAACGTGAAAATTTCCATGTACTTCATGGTGGAAATTATTGGAATGTTGTCTTGTTCTACCAAAAATATTAAGATTGTTTTACTAACCCAGCTATTACTACTAATTAAACATGGTTGATTGAATATTGTATAAATTGAAAATTATCAGAAGAGTATAGCTGTTACAATGAGATAAGACTGAAAACAAGAAGACTGTGCTTTGAAATGTGCAAATACGTTAATTACTGTAATATTACTAAGAGTAATATATAAAAAATAATGGCACGAAATCAAACTCACCTATGGATAATGGATAGTAGAATACTATTTAATATCTTAAATAGTAAATTTAGGAAAGCAAAGCAATGTTATGGAAACACTGAAGGGCCACCAGGAGAAATGTTAGGAGATTTGCTAATGTTGTCATGTCCCATGAAAGAATTGAATTTATATCTCTGATATTTCTTATAGTCGTATAGGTGCTTTGCTTTCTTGGAATCCCAACAGTATATATCAAACATTAGATCCACTGTGTTACCAGAACATATGCTCTCACACTCTCTCTCATACACACACCATCACTAAATTCTTTGATTTCATCCAGGAAATAAAACAATAAAACATGAATGAATAACAAACAAAGAAACAAACTGCTTCGTTTTTTAAAATTTGCCTTGGGTATTGCTTCCTTCATATTGGAATATTGAAATAGTTTGTGAAAGAACTTAAGGGTTTATGAAAATTTGTTATGTTTGTTTGTGGAAAATGATGTTACTAGAGTTTCTTGCTAGAAGAAAATGGTGTGTATGTGTATATATAAATCCATGTACTTCAAGATCTGCATGGTTTTCACTAAAACATGAAACATCTTACCAGAAAGGGAGCCTTTTTTTAAGGCCTTGTCACATGGATTCAATGTAACTAAGAGATTTGTGTGGGTATACCAAATGCAAAGTGTCTAAAGCAGGGTTTGTGATGAAAATTTATATCCAGTATAATTACGACAAAAATATGCAGATACTGTCATCACTTACGTTAATTTTGTCTGAATTTGTGAAAATGTTTTCTTGTTTAGTTTTGTTTCTCTTTTGAGCCTTTCTGAGGTAGGATTAAACCTTTTGCAAGCAGAAATAAAGAGTACATATATTTTGTGGAATTACTGATGTATAACTCATTTGCAATTGCTTTTAAAGTAGTGCAGATTTTCCTTTGTTTGTAACTTAGTTAATTGAAGTCACTATTGCACTTAGTATAACAATCCATAACATGGACCTAGTATTCAGTAAGTAGTGTTTCTGGCTTAACAATCCAAGCATGCCAAAAAAATTCCTTCAATGTGCTTAATTCTTATAAGATATTAGTATTATTTGTGAATCATTTACATTAACTGGCAGGTGAATTTGGTGATGGTACTTTATGACAACATTCATTAACTATTGCGTGAACAATTTGCATTTCTCCTCTGAATCTTTCTCTCTGTCAATTTTATTAGCACAAAAATAAATTGTAAGTGAAGTATCACCTTCTGATTGAATTTAATACTTTTGAAATTATTTGCTAAGAGACTTCTGTGCAATTGAATTGGTGCATTTTCATTTCATCAAAAAACTGTGCTAAGCTCCATCTCAAAGTTAGTCAGAATAACCCTGCTACACCGTTCTGTTTTCCTCCACATGTGAGATGTTTTGGTTGAAACTTTGTATTTAACTTGCAACTTTTCAGTAAATGAATGAAGTTTTTTATTCAGTAAATAAAAGCAATAGAAATGGATATATATTGACAGCTGCTAAGAAAATTAATTTATGTAATTATAATTTAAATGGAAACACTTCCACCTGTGTATGTAGGCATTGATCTTCAGAGAGAACAAGAACATTTTCATCATGCAAGCGAATACTGCAAAATGGTCATTGTCCTACAGGAAAACAATTATGTATTGTGAATCTAGATCTTTTCAAAATTTCTTGTATGTTCAGCATCTTTCAGTGTTCAATTCTTTCGAAATTATGGTTTTGGATTGAACATCTATAGGGTTCCACACCTGACATGCTAGAACAACGCATTCTTTCAGCATATCAGTTGGTGTCCAACAATTCTAGGAATATTTAATATCAAAAACTTCTTTACGTACATGATCTAATACTTCATCATCTCTCCTTTGATCAAAGCAAGTACTTTATTTGCATAGGACTCTTTTTCACTTAATTCTCATAATGCTCAAAACATAAGCGAAAACCCTATTTGAAGCTATGATAAGATTAAAAGGATGAGGATGGATTAAGATCCAAGTTGAAAACTTAGCATTTAACATGCAAATTATGGTATTTGGCAATAAAAAGAACTTAACAGCTTCTGACTTTTAGCAGGATAAGAAAGACAGACACAAACCTCTTTTATATGTACATATTTGTTTCTTAGAAACTACTTCTGACCAACATTGTGTAAGTCTTCATTATGGTATTAACTTACCATTCCGCAGTCTGTGTGGCAAAAACTCATGTTTTTGCTACAAACAGGGAAAGTTTAAACTAAATGTAAATCATACGTCATTTGGTTAAGGAGATTGGAATGATGCAGCAGGGTTAAATTATGCCAATCTTTTGTTTTTAATGGCACTTACTATTCCATAAAATATATCAAATTATATTAATATTTTTGACATTGTTTTACGTCAAGTGGCTTCTAAATAGCCATTGTGAGTTGTTAGTTCCTTTGCATTTTGGGGGAGGAGAGATAGGCCCTTTTTCTATTGTTGTAAAAAAAATTTTGTTCATTGCAGGCAAATGTTAATAATTTTCACACTTAAGTGAAGTACAGAATGTGATAATTATTTTTGAAAAACTATAGAAAATACACACCCCTTATGTATCTCTACTTTGTTTGAAGGAGCGGAATCGAGCTGAAGAAAGTCAAACTCCAGCCCAAAGACAAGCTGCAGCCAAACTTGCACTTCGCAAACAGCTTGAAAAAACATTATTGCAGGTTTGTATCATATGTCGTCTTTTAATCTGAATGTTTTGTGTAATGCAATTTATACAATCTTGTTTTTGCAGATACCTCCTCCTAAACCTCCACCACCAGAAATGCATTTTATTCCTAATCCATCGAATACAGAGTTTATATACTTACTGGGTTTGGAACATGTGGTAGATTTTATAACCAAAGATCAAAAGACACCACCCCCTCCAGATGCATTTAAGTGCTCACAGTGTCAAACAGATTTTACTCCTGTATGGAAGTGGGAAAAGAATCCTTCAAAAGGTAAACATGTTTATTTCAAACACAAATGATTATTGTGTGCTTTTGTTGGATTGGAGAATAATCAATTTTTTTTCTCTTTCTTTCTTTAATGCAGGCAAAGAACCAAAGGTCATTTGTGAACAGTGTGTGACAACCAATGTGAAAAAAGCCCTAAAAGCTGAGCATACTAATCGCTTGAAGACTGCATTTGTAAAGGCGTTACAACAAGAACAAGAGATAGAACAAAGATTGGCACAAGTGTCCAGTTGTGTATCACCTCAGCCATCAACAGCAACCGCTGCGCCTCCTGAACCTATTCATGCACCACCGACACCTTCTCCAGCTGTAATGTCTGCTCCTGCTCCCAAGCCTGCTACTCCTACAATGCCTCCAGTTGCAAGGCATGCTCCAACACCTCCAGCACCACCTCCTCCACCACCACCACCTGCTCCAACTCCACCCTTACCTCATCGTGAGCATCCACTTGCAAAACTGGCTGCTGAGTCAAGTAAGTTCAGCTCACACCATGCAGCTGCAGCATTACATCAGCAGCTGTTGCGAGGTCTTCCTCCACATCAACCTTTGCCTGCTCATATGCTCCCATTCTCTCCACTTTTGTATCCGTACCAATTAGCAATGGCTCAAGCTGCCAGTGGTAAGGGTCCTGTTGCTGCTGCAGCTGCTAATTTAGCTGAGTTGCAACGGCAAGCTGCTGATCTTCAGCGGCAGTACTTGTTGGACATGATCCCTCCACCTACTGCAGCTTCCCCTTCTCGTTCCCATCCACATTCATTGAACAATTGGAAAACATGATGGCAGGACACACGTGCGAGCTCTTCTACTGGGCAGCATGTAGAGTTCTCAAGGCCAAATCCACATCAACTGCCCACTGGGGCCAGCTGGATATCTGCAGAGCCAACCAGCAGCAAGCCCTTGTAAGCCAGTATCAGCCCCCAGTTGTGTGAATTAGCAAGCAGCTGACACTACGGGTTACTGCGCTATTTAAGTCAAGGTCTCCGTGGAGTGTGTGGCTTGTAGGAGTGTATTGGAGTGTACTTTCTGGACATAATTGTATCAAACGTGTGCTCATTATACTTACAGCTCAGTTTTATTGTGCATGGTGTTTTGGAAGTAAGAGAAAAGGTAAAGGTCTGAATACCTGTTACTTCTTTTGTGGTTGTTGTCAAGGATGTGGTGTACCCTTCAAACCGTTACTGTGTTTTTGGAGTGAATTTTAACGTTAATGAATCTTTAAAATTTCATGTATGTATTGTGTGTACAAAATGAAATGTGCTCTCTTTATCTGAGTCTTGGATTATATAGTATTATATTGAGGCCTGTTTGTATGAAGTGAACTTGAGAAGTGCACATTAGATATGTGTACACATGTGCTCACCATGTTCAATAATTTGGCTTGGTGCTTGCTCAGAGACCACCTGTCCAAATAAGAAAATGCCAATAGCTTCCAATGGATGGTGACATAGCTCAGAATTCTTTGATGTAGTAGTCATAAGTCTGTATCATTTTTCATGGTGTATACATAGTGGGAAATGATGAAGGGCCATGGAGATCAATAGCTCATTGTATTGTGTGTTTTTGATTCCAATTGTTGCATTTTGTCTTCAAGAAATAATCAGAAATGGTAGTTCTGAGAGGGTAGAGAAAATGCAGATCAAAATAATGTTTGTTTCATGTGGAAGGGGTGACATTCTTTTATGTTTCATTTTATATTAAAATGGCATTGTGTAGCCTCCAGTGGCTGCAGTGCATGATTTAGCATTCAAATTTTTTGACGGCAGAAGGCAAGCAGTCTCCTAATAGATTATAATGCTTGTCTCAATATCTCTGTTTTTATTACATCAAAATAAAACATTCCAGCAATGTATTTTGGAACAAACTTCACTGTTCTCATTAGGTATCAAAATTAATTAACACAGTTTTAATAATATTGTTTCAGATGCACATTAGAAAGAAGCAAAGATGAAAGATTCATTCATTAATTAATGTCACCTGGTTTACATGCTTGCCTGTGCAGTACTGTGTTGTGACCTGTCATAATTTAATAACTGCTGTATCAGTGCATGCATATATTCATACACTTGGGATAGACAGCAGGAGGATTTTGAAATGCTGGGGTGTGCTGTTACCTCACTGGCAAACACATTTTAAATAACTTCCACATTCACACTACCTCATTTGTGCACTTGTTTCTATGACGAATTGCTCTATTAAACAGCAATTGTCTTCACAAAAGCTTTAATTTTTTTACAATTCAAATGACATCTGTAAAATTGAAATGTATGGATTATGGAAATGCACAAATCCAAAAGAAATGGCAGAAATTGTAAGGTTTCAGAGCTTGTTTAATCTGTTGCATCAATAAACAATAATGAATTGAATTCTACACACGTGAGTGCAATTAATAATCTATAAACTTCTATTTGACTCATTAAATAGCTTGTGTACTGCAATAACTGGATCTTTATAGGTAATCAGTTAGTGTTGAGTGGGAATTATTTTCTCTAGTTCACGTATGCAGTCTTTTGTAACTAAACAATTGAGAATGTCCAGTGAAGTGAGCATCACATTCCTTTCTGTTGCTTTTTGTCTATTACGAAATCTTCAGCTGTTTTTTATATTGTTGATAAAGCCACCAGTAAGGGTTCTTTAAAAAAAAATCCTTTTTTCTTTCTTTTTGTCTTCCCATCATGGCAGAAATCTTGCTGTGTTAAGAGTGGGTTATGAGTACAGAGTAGTGGTGATTTGAATGGGTACAAAATGTGAACTGAAACAGTTGGTATCTTTAAACGTGTTTAATTTAAAAATATCTGTTTCAATATTTTTGTTGAATCAGAATAATTTTAATTCTGACTTGTCACATTGTCAATTTGTATATACTAGTTGGTAAATAATTTTCAGACATCTAGCGATGTATGAGATTTTCTAATGTAGTTAGCTTTGTAATTATCCAGACAACTTATTATAAAGCAGTCTTGGTTTTATGAAACATGGGAGTTTACATGCTAGTACAGTATTACACCCTAAGAATTGGAAATGTTTTAAGTAGGGGGAGATGCCCGTTAATCTTGAGTTATTTATTGTACAAGTGTGTTGAGTGCAAATTTGAGGCTAGTTGTGAGCAGCATTTTTCTCTTTGGCTGCTTCACTAGTTATTTCAAATGCCCTGTTCTAAGCTTGGTATGCAGAAGCTCTTGTTTCATGGTTTGGTGACCACTCTTTGCCCTGTCTTCCTCAGAAATGATTGTGTGAGTAGTTGTTAAAACAGTGTTTCTAGTCGGTGTACTGATGCACTATACAATCTTTGGACTAATTCCAGTTTATTCACAGCTATGGGAGTTCATGCTAGGGTACCTGGATGTTGGGACTTTTGTTGGAATAGTGTGTTCTGTATTATGTGAATACAACACAGTGGCTACATTGCACCCTGGCCAAGTGTTAATTTCAGTGTTCATTGTTAGCACATTGTATCAGTGGCGTATTATTCATTTAAGTGAACAGAACTAGAAAACTTTCTTTCCTTCCTTCCTTCATAAGAGAACAACCACAATAAAATGCTTTTGGATTCAGAAAAATTATTTTGGTCTTTTCTTGTGGATGTGTGTACTCTTTATGTAATTAAATAGTGTTTTGGCTAAGCCACTGTAAGATTTATAAACAGTAATATGAAATGTCCCTTATCAAAAGAAGGTATGGAGTTCTTTTTTAATTTTTGTTATTCCACACTCATTATCCCTTACCTGAAAGTTTTGCTATTTCAGAATTTGAATGTTTCCCCTTAGGATTAATTTTGTGAACTCTACTGTATTTGTAACTCCATAATTGTTTTGTGTTCTATGTTACTCACTTAGCTGCATTCCTTCTGGTTAGTGTACAGTTTTCTGTCCATCCTTTACCTGTACTTTGGCTCTAGTGATGTGACAATGAAATGCCTCAGGCAATGGAGCATTCCATGCAGAGTTAGCAATGGGTGCATTGAAAGGTGGGTCCTACAGTATGCCGGCTAGTGCCACTTTTCATATCCCACCTAAGTGTGGAATCGGGTAATAATAAACCTCTTGAAATGGTGCTAAGTGTGACCTACCTTCAAGGATGCTGTACTGATGTACCATGTTTTAGTATTCAGCTGCCTTGGTGCAGTTAGAGGCTGATGTTCATACTTTCATGTATAGTTTATTGCAATCACTGAAATTTTTATCCCTGACTGTAAATATGTGAAGTATAATACCATTTGTTGTTTCTTTGGTATGCATGGTTTTTATCTTTGTGTTTTACAAGTTTAAGGTGTTCCTAACACAGATTGTAGTTGGGTATCTTGATGTAATTGCTACAGTTTATCTGTGTGCAATTCCTGTGCTTTCTCTCAAATCTTTTTGTACAATTTCTCCTAGACTTCATATCTTAGAAGTATAATAATAACTGCTGAAGTACAACATATTGGAGAGCACAATATCAATTTTTATTATGTCAAATTGACTTCAAAGGTTGTACAGCACATGCCTGGCTTGTGATCAGTGTTAGGTGCACCTGTTGAGCCTGGCATCCAGTTAGACTGCAGTCATGTAGAGGAAGTGGACGCTAGCAGTCGGGGCAAAACGAAAGTTTAATAAATTATGTAAATGTTCTGTCATTTAATAAACAATCATCCTTCAAGTTTGAACTCCTTGTTCATGAATGTTGGGATGTGTCTTCTTCCTTATTTCCACATCTGATTTGGAACTCAAAAGCATCGTTTGAAATGCTTGGCGCAGAAGCTGTGCAGGTCATTGGGTTCACAAATTTGACAGGCCCGGGCTAGATGAGAACAACACATGGCATTCTGTTGACAGCAACGTGGCCACAGGTTTGTTCTGTTACATCCTATGCAAGCTTCACAATCACCTGCAATGTGAAACGAGAATGATTTTGTTACATTGTTTTTCCTAGATCTGTCTGACGTACGACCCATCAATTCTGTTTTTAAGAGATTTGATGTGCTTATTCGTATTTAAAAATATTTCTTTACCAAGGTTTCTCACGTTACGTTTATTTTTTGAAGGGAATGACTTGTAAGCGAACCGACATGATTTTTAGACAAAATTGTGATTAACACCAATTAAAATTCAACAGCAAATATGTTCTGTATTTCTGTTATATCTATTTTTTGAAACTTATTTATCTAATAGTGGAACAAAAATCATTTAGTTCATTTTAATCCTTTTAAATGTTTTTTATATTACTACTTTGCAAACTTTTGTCTTGACCATTTGGATAGTCTATGTCTTCGTTTTGCTTGGGCTCTCAATATCTCACACACAAAAACTTTAATTTTCTCTAATGCAGTGTAGAGAAAATGGAGAAACTATTCTAATGTTTTACTTAATTTTGGAATATTACGTGTTATAGCGACCTCTGGTAGAATTTTTTTAGGACCCCCCTACAACAAGACTGAAATGAATTATGTCGACAGAACTCAGCGGGGCCCTGGTGGACAAATCTTGTCATCTAACGGGTTGGGTAGGCAGAATCTACAATTTGTGGTCCCCTGACAGCGAAAAATTTGTTTTAGGCAAAACGTCCGGCCGTGAACAACGCTAGCGGCCATACCGTGAGAAGAATTTCACCAAAATTAATATTCCATGATGATCGATACTGTTGATGTCGCGACCCCTTTAATTTGAAGCGGATATTATTATTTTGCCGGGGTTCTTCACATGAAGCCTCAACGTCGTTTTAAAAATTTTCTCAACAATATTTGTATTAACTTTTGTCCTTCGATAGCGTAGGCTATAAAACATGGCGCGGGACTTTTAAAAAATTGCAAAAGTTAGTCTTTCGGCTCCTTCATACAACTACAATATTGAAGTTTGTTTTTTTTCTTAATGAATTTTCTTGAAAGTTGTTAAAATAAAGTCATGTTCAATTTTTTTTCGAAAATGTGTAGTTTTCACGTCATTTTTGTAAGATAGGCATGTTATTCATGTCATTGTTTTTTCAAAAATTGCCTATTACAATATTGATGATTATCTTCTTTACATTATGAAATTTGATCTCAAGTCATAGTTACGTGATTGTTAATCACGTTTTACGCTACCTTGTGCAAAAATTCTAACAGATGAAAGTCTTTCTCGTAAATGTGGGCCCCTATGTCCTGATTTGAACATGGCTGTCAAGTATCCTATAGTTAAAACGTTCTCCCTCAAATTTTGGCATGTGTTCGCTATGATGCAATCTTGGAGAAATTTGATTTACTTGTCCGAGATTCATGTAATAAATCCGGCCGATATTTCACAATCGCAAGGGCAGAATACTTGTGTGTAATGAAGACGTCCGTAACACGACAGACTGCAGAGTACAGGGACGCTAGAGCCGTCAAGAACTAATAAATCGCCCCCACATGTCCGATTTAATTCAAACAAGTCTTTAAACACTCCTGTTACTAATAATACGATAGAGAGGGCAGACATGCAGTGGGAAAATTGCAGCGAAATTGATCGAGTAGTTTGTGCGACGCACATTCCTTTCATTTATATGTAGATAAAATATGAGTACTTTCCATATTAAGAAGTTACAAATAATCCAAAATAAGTCTCTTGGAAAAATTACTGAAGCCCCTGGTTCATTAGTAACCGATTACACAGCTAGAAATCGAACTCCTCCACGATTTTTTTTATTATTATTTAAGGTACTAATACTTCTCATGTAAACTTTACACTTATAAACGGGATTCGGATTAATGTTTTGCGGGCGGGCTGCACTCATTTCGTTACGCTACTGCCCCGTTCCCTGAAAATGACACAAGTAACATTTTCCTGACAATTCCACTAGTGACAACCAATTGTGTTTAACTACACATATAAAATGCCCAAATCAGGGCGGTGTTTCTCACAAAATTTATTGCCTTTTCTCTCCGAATTTTTAAAGCCTCGTCTTACTGACCAATAATAGAGAGTTTGTTCACGCATTAGCCCTATCGATCTACGCATGCGCAGATGCCCTAATGTGATGCGAAAATTCAACTGCGCGTGCGCAGAAGATCGATGGGGCACGAACTCCCTACTAAGGTGCCGCTCATCTGTCGTAGGAGGCGCTTTGAATCGATCGCTGTGTGGATGTGCAATTAACCGAATATGTTCTATAAAAAATATTTAATTTTATAATGCTCTCACTGATTTTCATTATTTTGCGCGTTTTGGAAATTTGTTGTACGTAATTTAATTTGTGAAGTAGCTCTATTCAATACCACTAGTGCTTTAGAAATTCTCAGATAAGCCCCCTCCCCCCTTGCTTCATCAGTCGGTAATTTATCGACAATTTCCAAAGCACTCGTATTGCCTATGAAAATAAAATGCTACATTATCTTTTCCCATGTGCACCTGCATTATGCAAATAATTGTTAAAGCGGCGTAGAGAGGGGCACGGTCCGCCTCGGGTGTCACCATTTTAGGGGGACACTAATTAGACTATTTTGTAGTTAGCATTAAATAATTATTAATTTAAAAAGTATTTTGCAATTATTCTGAATGACATACAATTTTTATTATATTATAAATAAATGTGTGCAAATATACTTTCATTTTTATTAAATAATGTATAAACTATTCAGTAATAGATATTTTTATTTTCCCGTATTCATACGTATTTACGTAGTATAGGGCTATGTATAGTATAGTATATGTAATGCTGCGAAAAATCGATTTCCAGATTTCGACGGAAATATACGTTTTGGGGTCCGCGATACCGTAAAAGTGTTGTTGTTGTTTGTTTGTTTTTTTCCAAATCTTCCGTCTGTCCGTCCGTGTGTCTGTTGTATGTTATCAATACTGGCTGAATTGAAGATAGAGATTTTTCTTTCCAATGAAACTGAACTATGCTTGCGATATTTTCCAAACTGAATAAACTCCTGTTGATCTGGCCTGAGACAAAGCTCTCCGATTTTGAAAAACATTTAATTCTTGGGGTTATTTGACATGAAACCCCGTACATTTTCAAAATGTTCTCAAAAACTGCTCCAAAGGTTTTCTTTAAATTTCTTGTAAGATTAGAGTAAATGCACTTATAAAGGTGGTATAAGTCCGATTTAACTGATAACTCTGAATTTTCGTTAATTGAAAAAAGTTAGAAATTTATTCGGCGTCTTCCTTGAACTACAAAATTGAAGACAGAGATTTTTCTTTTCAATGAAATTTGTTCTCTCTTCATCACGGTTATGTACATTTTTTGAAAATTTTAGTAGTTTTCGCGCAATATTACGTGCAATATGTGCCATTTAAAATAATAACAAAAACCAGATTTTCTCAAAACCGGCTCCAATTTTTTCTTTAAACTTTTGGTGGGGATAGTGCCTAATGTATCATGGGATACGATAATCGCCACATAGCTCTATTCTTTGATTTTTTCCTTTCAAAAAATTACAAAAATTTATTTTTTGACTTGTCTTTCACATCGTTAATATTTACTTCAGCAGCTTTTTGTTCACAGTATTGTATTTATAAAGACATGAGCTTTAAATAATGTCATATAAAGGTTTCTGTGAAAACAAACTCAAAATTTCCGTATTTTTAGAAACGCTCAATCGCTTTTCGTGCATATAGTGCAACTTGCACTCTGAGATGACAAGATTAATTTTGCTGCATCTTTATTTATTTATTTATTTTTTTTTTTGTTCAAAAAATTACACATTTTTTTAATGTCTCTCGCCTTCAATATGGAATTTCGAACGATTTGTAAACACTATTACATTTTTGAATGGAAGTGCTTCAAATGACTTCCGATCAGGTTTTTCGAAAACTGGAAAACTTTTTGTGAAAGAGCTTAAAATTTCGCTTTTACACTTAAACGTAATTTTCTTAAAAACGACTCCAAATGTTTCAATTAAAATTGCCATTTAGGACGACGTATTACACTTCATTGGGATCAACTCATTTTCAGTGCTCCAGAATTTAATAAATTGGTCGCTCGACCACCTCGGAAAAATTCATATTTTGTACATAAATTTCCTTATGTTTTGGCTGTCCAAAAATATCTTTAATTTTTTTTTATTGTACGTCGTTTACAAATGGCGGCAATTTTGTTCTTCGCCGTGCACTATTTTTCGCGTTGTAAACATTTACTCTTTTGTAAATTTCTCAGCTCTAGGTTGTTCGAGCATTCTTGAATAAAAAGCATTGGATTCAATATATCTGGCATACAAATCGAATTATTATGTATTTACTTTGCATGTTTTTATTTGGGAGATGTTTCCAACCAAATTATAGGACGCGAATGAACGAAATTCCATTTTCGGAGAGTAACTTCTCAAAGAAAGAATAGATAACATCCTTAAATTTTTCTGTGCTTTTACTCGTAACAGTACAGTAGAGTTACTTTTTGTAAAATACTGGTAAATAATGTACTACTTGAAAATAACATCATCTTTTAAATTTTCAACCATAATATCTCTGTTGACCAACCAGATAAGAATCTGAAGTTGCACACATGCTAGTTCGCTGAAATAGCAAACGTCAGTAAAAATGTCAACTCTTTGATTTAACTCCTAGTATTATTTTAATTGTAAATTTACGCAAAAAAGTGTTAATTTCCACATTGAGGATACTTCGTATCAAGTAGTAATTGTATTATTTTGAAACTATTTTGAACAAAAATCTACATTGATTTAAAATAATTAATTATACTTTATTATTAATAAACATAAAAGTGGCCAAATATATAATTTTCAGTATTACGTATACTTGAAAACAAACATACAACTTGACATCTACATTTGTAATAAAAAATATGGTCATCTCGATTTGAAATGCTGAACCGAGTAATACAAAAATTGTTTATAAAGTATAAAAAAATTATAAATTCAGCGAATTGTTTATTTTTTCGCGTTTAAATTTGCCATTCTGCTTAGTATG